AGCTCTTGTTTGTTTACCATTATTTAATGAAGAGTAGTTTTGTAATAGTGATTTTTTGAATAATATGTCGTTAGAAAAATATAGAAAAATATAAAAAAATATAATGGTAGGCAAACAAGAACTTTAACAAACACCATTAACTTGTCACGTGAAGCAGCTGACATGGCATGTGAGATGGAAGTTGGGTTGGTATGCCTTCTCCAAAACAAACAGAAACTTGTAATTACACCAGTGAAACGTGGAAGTGGTAGGTGGCAAGCCAGTGTGGGCTCCATTCTTCACCCAACTCTTGATTCACGAGGCCGGTCTTTTACACCAACCGCAACCACGCATGTACTCGTATATATGTAACTATGTTATATTCCCACGCTTAAAATTTGCCTTCGATTCCACTCTTATCAAACCCACCAACGACGGTGCATAATGGCGTCGTCTATCTCCACCAAACCTTTTCTCGGAGCTTCATCATCCGACGGATCCTCTTTTGGATCCCTCCAACCGTCCTCCAAACTGTACGCTCCCTCTCTTCAGCTCCCTGCTCGCCGATCCCATCCCAAACGCCTTGGTTAGTGATTTATTTGTGTTTCCTTATATCCAAATTTGGATTTTAATTAATGGGTTTTGCTTATTGGGATTTGCTAGTGATTTGTTTAAGTTTTCTATAGCCAAGTTTGAATTTTAATAAATGGGTTTGGCTCATTGGGATTTGCTAGTGATTTATTTATGCTTTCCTATAGCCAATGAATAAGTTAATGGGGTTTGCTTATTGGGATTTGTTAGATATTTAATTTTGTTTTCTGATTTATCTCGATTCAATTTGCTTGCCTGTGGAAATGGCCAAACTTTTGTTTTTAGCTTTGATTGTTGTAATGGTATTAGAAATTTACGATTATTCTCTTGTTGTTTCGTATACAATAGACTTTTGGCTAGTGCATATTTATAGTCAAATTCTGGAAGAAAAAAGTTGTGATGGGTCTGGTTGTGTAAGTTGTAAATGAGCTGAGCTAATGTGAGCAGAGTTGAACTTTAGGGTGCCAAAGCTCGGCTTGATTCATCTAGTGAGCCTTACAATAGCTCGATCTTAGGTTGTTATATTTGATCAAACTCTCAACTGATTTATTATTGAGTAGATGTGATGTAGGATAAAGACAGAGAAGAAACATAAATTCAAGGGAAAGGGGTAGGAAGAAAATGTTTGCGCCAAGCAAATCCATTTCATTCATCATATTCATCAACTGTCCCAACTACTATGAAAAAATCTAATAAATAGTAAAAACCTAACCTACTAGTGATTGGACGTAATTAATAAAAATCAACAATAAAATAAATAGTGATGTCTGCATCTACTCTCCCAAGGTGGGAGAAAAACTCAACCATATTGAGTGGATAAATTATAAGAGTCTGCAACTAATCTCACAGTCATCAACAAAAGTGACTTGCTCATGCCACGGGGGACAATCTTTCTTAAGAACCAAATATCGAAATTCTATGCTTGATAGTAACGAAAACTGCAGCTTATTCCCAAGAATATAATCCGGCCAAGGGGGACGATCTCTCCATCTAATCAAGTACCGATACTAGACTCCGAATAACAAATACTCATGCAACTCATCTTTAAAACTTTCATTTGATTGTGCATAATGAGGAGCATAAGAAGCTAGCATTGTAGACGGTCCTGTAGAGAAAAATGATCGCAACATCAAAAGCTCGAATGGGCCCCGATTAGTAAATAATTTTTTTGTATTGAAAATATAACTTTCATTTAA